ATATCTTCCCCTACTCAGGTGGGGATGCAGATGGTGATGATGATGATGAAGAGATGGAAGATGGAGAAACCGAAGAGAAAGAAGGAAAAAGAACAGCAGGGCAGAGTGGTCAAGGAGGAACAGTTTTAATAGGCTCAGGTTCCAGGGAAGAGATTTTAAGTGGCAATGAGAAGAAAACAGGCCAGTCAATTTTATCTGCAGAGGGCATTTCTCCTTCCGGCAGTCGGGAATCAAATGCCATTCCCACGCAAACGGAATTTGAAAAAAAGAAGGAGCCCGACGAAAATACACCTGCAGTAGAGAATCCACTCACAACAGGTAACGGAGAGAACACACTGCCTGCGGGAATTGCGGAAGGAAATTTTCCATCATCTCCAGAAGACGGTGTTGATTCCCGCAAACAGGATGGCGAAGAGACCACGAGTGAAGGTAAAAAATATTTTCAGTCACCTGCGACCGCAGCCACACCACAAAGCCACCGAGACGAAGGCTCAGAAGGGACTGAGGAAGACACAAAAGCAACGACAGTAACCGCCAACACAACTGATACGACGAATACACAAAACAGTGACGGCAGCACCGCGGTCTCCCACACCACCTCCCCTCTTTTGCTTCTTCTTTTTTTTGCGTGTGCGGCTGCTGCTGCTGTGGTGGCCGCGTGAGAGTGAGGGAGAGAAAGCCGTGCACCGCCCGCACACACACTCGTCCTTCTCTCACTCTCTGTGTGTGTGTCCCCTTGCATGGACTCTCGCCCTCACCTCATCCCACGAAGCACACACATAATGTGCCCATTGTATATATTGCATGCACACCCATGCAGGCCCGTTGGTGCTCTCTTTTGCACGACACGCACTGCTGCCGTCCTGCCTGGCTGCATGGGCGGAGCACCGTAACTGTTTTTGTTTTGTTTCCATTGCATTGAGTGGGCGACCTCTCCCTCTCTCTCCCTGTGTGTGTGTTTTGCTTTACGGGAGCAATGAGAGTGTGTGCGCTTGTCGTCCGCTTCGGCTTTTTGTTTTGTTTTTTATTGTTTTACTTCTGTTGTGGTTGAGTGCACGCATTCCACCGGCTGCGTGTGTTTCTGATGAAGTGAGTAATTTGCGTGTGTGCTGTCCTTCTCCCTGCGCTTTGTTCTCTTTGAATTCTCTTTTGCGGCATAGCTGCTCTGCAGGTATAGGCGCTGACATGCACACAAGCATAAGTAAACATACACACGCCATGTTGCACATGCTGTGAACGCTGAAGGCGTGCGAGTACGGCCGCAACTGCAGCCTGTGCGGCCACTATCCCGTGCTGCAGACGGAGGATGGCTGTGATATATGTATTTCTTTCGGACCACTGTGCATCGTCAATGCGTTTTTTGTTTTTGTTCTGCATTGTCTGAAAGTCGCACATGCTTACGCAGCTGACACTGTGGTGCACAGCGCGTGGGGATTGTATTGCTGGCATTAATGTGTGGGCTTTCCGCTGCATCGTCTTGCCCACACGATGGGGTGGGAGGCGGGTTTGTTGGATGCGCCGTGCTTCTGGCTTGAAGGGTGGAGGCGCTGCGCCCACATATTGTTTTTCTGGGGCCCGGCGTCACGAGGTGGAATGCCGAGTGTTTTATTGTATGAGACGTCGATGCCGTCGAAGCTGCTGCTGGTGTGGCGTCCATCCCACGCACACACTCACTAACAAACAAGTGACGGGCTGAGCGCGCTCCCTTCTGCGCGTGTGTGGAGTTTGCGTTGTGGTTGCTGTGCTCTTTTGCCGTTCACTTGCCGCATTGTGGATGAGGTGTGTGTGTGTTTGCCTCACCACTACCGTGCCGCCCCAGCAACGCGCTGGATGGCGTGGAGGCCGTATTTCTGCTCTCCGAGGTGTCCTGATGTAGGCGGCATGGACGGCACGTGCGTGGGCCCGTTGCCTGCAATACGTGGACCCTCCACACTCTAACGATGCGATCTGCAGCTTTTATTTTTTTTCTCGTTTCTGCGTCACGCTCCACGCCGGGCGCTGGGCGAGTGTGGGATGGACGGGCGCTGGGCGAGGGCGGCGGAGCGGAATGTGGGCAATGCAGTAGCGTCAGCGGCACCTTGCCCGTCGCTGTCTGCCGCTTGCCGCGTCAGCGACGTCACAGTTGTTCTTAATTTGCTTGCCGCGGGTGCATTTTGTTGAGGGCGCATTCTTCCGAGGAGGCCTGCATTTTTGTGCTCCTGGCATCCTCTGTCTTCAACTTGTGTTTCCGTTGCTTGCGAGCGACGCCTGTCTTGCGTGAGTGGTGCTCCTCGTGCTTCTGCCTTGTTGCGACGGCGCCGTTCTCTGATTTACTTCTTCCGCTTCCTTTTCTTTTATTTTTGGAGGAGCGGAAGGACAGGAGCCAAGGTGGCAGTTTCACAATGTGTGGAGTGTACATTGCTGACCCCGCTGTGTTCGACGCAGACACGGGTGCGGCGTGCTAGGATCGTGTGCGCACGGCTCTGTGGGTGCACTGCGCCGTGCTGCTCATTCCCGCTGGAAACGTGGCCCCAGGGGCTGGGGAGATGTGGGTGAAGAAAATGGAGATGGTAAGGCGGCGCGACGCCGTCATTGCGGACCTGTGTCTGTTTTGCTTGGATGGGCCGGACTGCGGGACGGCGTTTGAAGTGGCCCACGCTGCCGCCCTGGGAAAGAGGGAGTTGACATTTACTTTCGATTGGCGTTCCATGAGGGAGAAGTACGGCGGCGCGTGTGACGCGTCTGTGATGAGTGTGGAGGACTTTGGCCTTTCATTCAGTCTGATGCACTGCGACGGTGCGGAGGCGTTTGACTCCTTCGACGCTGCCCTTCACTACTTTCTGAGCCACAGCTCGGAATGGCGAGGATGCGACTATGGGGGATGTGTGCGAAGTTAGAGTTAATGCTTTGGGCCCTGGTGGGATTTTGTGCACGGCTTGGCGTGCATCCCCGACGCAATGGCCGGCGGAAATTCCATGCTGTGTTTCTCAGCAACAGGGCAGGCGACTGGCTCCGTGCGGCACAGCTGGGTCTGGCGTGTGTGCCGCTGACTGTTGTCTGTTTAGTGCTTTTCCCGCTGCTTTTTTGTGTGGGCCGGAGATGTTGTCCTGTTGCCCACGAGGCGGGTATCCCTTTTTTTTTTTTTTTTTTTTGGCTATGAGCGCTGGCACGTCTGTTGGTGGTCGTGCGTCGCCTTTCTTGAAAAAACACACAGCCCTTCCACCTCGGCGTGTGAGTGGTTGGAATAAATGATTGCTGCTGCTGCAATGACACGCTGTGCACCCCATTGGTGTGTCTAATGTGTTTCCCTGTGCTCTTCTCCCCATTTCTGACACACACACTTGAAAAGGAAAGCAAACAAGCGCTAAACGCTACTGTGAAATTCGAGGGCTCTGAAAGGACCAACAGCACACACACCGCCCACACACACAAATTTATATGCACTCACGTGTTGCTGCAGTGAAGGCACCCCGCACACACAACCGTCGCCGCGTGACCGGATCCAGCGGAAGGAGGAGGGAAGGAGGAGAGAGTGAGCCGCAGAGGCCCAACATGTCCCGGCATGTGTTTACTTCCGCGGTGCTGCTCCTCCTCGTCGTGATGATGTGCTGCGGCGCTGGAGGTGCGCGTGCCAGTAAGGCGAGTGATCCAAAGCCTATGGATATTTTTGTACCATGGGAAACGAGGGTGTCTTCTGGCGCATTTGAGAGGCAACAGCTATGGAGATAATTATGTCAAATCGTTTATTTTTCATTCTCTTGTTGAACCACTATGGCTTGATTGTGGGTATTGCCAAGGCCAATTAGGGAGTCCCTTCTAGTGCCAGTGTTGGCATTTGGTCAAAGTACGTGAGTTTTACACGGGAGGAGTGGACGAAAGGAATCGCAGCGGAGAGCGTGACTGACTGGAGGACGGTCATTGCCGTGGAACGAAGAGAAGAGGCGGTTCATGCGTCTCAATTGAACGGTCCCAAGGCGTTGACGAAAGACGGCAATATTTTTCTGCCTGTAGAGAGCCTTCTTGCGAAAAATGCCAGCGCGATTTTGGAAACTCCACACAGGTGGGAGCTTGTGCCTGTTTTGGGTGACGTTTTTGGTCTCCAACGATGTGGGCAAGCGCATCACGTGGGGTGCTGGGAAACTTTCCAAGGTTGTTGTTGACTCTCAGCTACGAGCGAAGTCATGGAATGGGTTCTGGGGTATTGGCGGGAGGGGCGTGGTGGCGAATGGCACCGCGATTGTGTTTCCCCTTGTGACTGTGAAGGGGGACAACACAAAAGTCTGCAACATCATCCATTCGAGGGGCTGTGGCGGGAATTGGGGGTTCCCTGCGGAGGGTGTTGCTGACGGGATTGCGCTGATCCCAATATTTTCGAGTGGGAGGGAAAACTCCTGATGGCCGCCACGCATGGGGGCCATGACGGGAAAGTGCATGAGTCCGGTGAAATGGGGGAGGAATGGATGTAATTCGGCGGAGCACATTCGAATGTCTTGAGTGAGGCCTTGAAGAGTGCTACGACTGGTGGCCGACTCGAAATTGTGACGGCATCCATCGAGGGGAGGAGTGTAATGCTGTTTGCCTTTCCCAGGCAGAATAATATTCGGAGAGCCACGAGCGTGTTGCGTCTTTATATGACTGATATGAATCGATTTTACCCCATTGGACTGTTATTTGCTGATGGTGTTTCTAAAAACGCAGATACTCTGCAGTACAAGGGTGGTGAAGTGTTTGCCCTGTACGAGTGGAATGCAGGACAAGGGCGTGTTGTGCTCGCACACCTCACTGAGCAACTGGATGAAATAAATACTGCGCTGAGGAATTGGGATGCAGTCGACAAGAAAGTTACAACGCCTTGTACTTCCACCAGCAAAGAGGGAACCGCATCCGACGGTGCCTGCAGCACTCCTATGCCCACGGATGGACTGGTCGGATATTTGTCCAACGAGGGTGAGAGGGATTGCTGGGTGAGGGAATATGTCGCGGCGAGTGCCACGGTGATTGGGACAGCAACGGAGGTTGAGGGCGGTGCGACGTTTGAGGGGCCTGGAGTGTGGGCAGAGTGGCCTGTGGGTAATCGGTGGCGGAATCAACGATTCCACATTGTGAACAAGGACTTTACTCTTGTGGCGACGATTGGGGCGGCTCCTGCGGGCAGCGGCAGCGCCCTTATGGTCGCTGTGGGTGGCGCTGGGAGTGTGAGGATGGTGGGACTGTCAGTCACGGCGGACAATAAGCGGTAGGCGACGTTTGACGGTGAGGCGGGAGAAGCGCAGCACGGGAACTGGGGGCTGGAGAGAACGTACCGGGTGGCAGTTGGGCTCCACAACGGCATGGGCACCGTGTGCGTGGGTGGCAAAACTTTGGGGAGCTCAGCAACGACAGTTACACGTGGGGCGCAGTTGCTCGACGTCTCATGCTTCTACGTTGGAGGTGACGGTTGCGGTGGCTCAGGCTCCAGTCAGGTGACGCTGACGCATGTCTGTCTGTGCAACCGCCCACTGACCAGGCAGGAACTACAGATGCCCTTTTGCGTGGCAAGCAGACTGAAGCGGATTGCAAGGAGGGAAAAGCGACACTGTGCCCCGGGAATTTTGCGGCCAAACTGCCACAGGATCTGGGCATTGACGCGGCTGCGGGGGAAGCGGTGCCAGTGCCCGCCAAAGGGGGAATTTTGCGCGGGAAACAGCACCACTGATGTCAATGGCTCTACTGTTTTATTGTTCCCAAAATGAATTGGTGACGGCGCCGTCCATGGGTGTGCCTTGGGCATTTTCTGTCTTTACTTCAAGGAGTGTGTGGGGAATTGGCATTTTTATGAGCCGTAGAATGCGGTTGTGCGATTTCTAATGGACCGTACGTGCCGCTTTTTCCGCGTGTTTTCTCTGCTTTATTTAAATGATTCGTTTTTATTGTCTGCTGCTGTTTTTGCACGGATGGGGTAATCAGCACCCCTTCTTTTCCTTTTTCCGTCCGACGGTTAATCGCCGTACATGTCATGAGTGACGTGTTTCTTACTTTTATTTGTTGTTTGTGGCCCACACCGTTGCCAGCCTTACTGCTGTGCGTGCCGCGGACTGCACAAAAAAAAGGGGGATTGGAGGAACAGGCCGGATGACTCACGAAATGTGAGGAGTGTTTTGTGGGCTGGTGGAACAGTACGATCTGTTTTATTTTTGATTTTATTGTTTTTACTTGTGCAGGCAATATGTATAGACAAAAACACGGTCGTTTTGTGCCACATGGCACATGAAATGAAAGTCATGCCTGATCATTTTTTCATTTTTTTACTTTTTGGGAGTCTTCCCAGGCCCTCAACTCTGTTTTTGTGCTTTTTTACTTTTTAGATTCAGGTTTGCAGAGCGGTGTGTGTTGTTTGCAATCGCACCGATTCCCTCTGCCTTATGGTGTTGATGGGATGTTGTTGTTGTCACTGTGTGGTGACTGAGTGACTTGTCTCTCTTTTCTCTTTTGCTTTCACTCTGCGTTGACGGGAATTTAGTTTGTGCTGAAGGCTGCACGCAAGTGACAGGAGTGATGGCGATGATGATGACTGGCCGTGTGCTGCTGGTGTGTGCCCTCTGCGTGCTGTGGTGCGGTGCCGGCGGTGGTTTTGCAAATGAGGAGAGGACAGGTCTTGGAAGTGGTGGTGGGCCTCCGCTGGAATCACAAGAACTTGAAAAGTCTCCACAAGTCACGCAAGGCATAAGAGATGGAACTGGAGGTGTTAAAGGACAAGTACCCTCCAAACCTCCAGGGGATGAAGTTGAAGATGAAGATGAAGACGATGAAGATGAAGAAGATGACAGTGAAGAGAATGAACATGAAGAGACGGAAGATGGAGAAAAAAAAAGTATAGAAAGGCAGAGTGATCAAGGAGGAACAGTTGCATCAGACCCAAATTCCGGGGAAAAGAATTTAATTGGCGGCGGGCAGGAAAATCACCAGCCAATTGTATCTGCAGAGGGCATCTCTCTTTCCGGCAGTCAGGAATCAAATGCCAATCCTACGCAAACGAAGATCGAAGGAAACAAGAGCGCAGACAAAAATTCACCATCAGCAGAGAAAGCACTCACAACAGTTAACGGAGAGAACACACTGCTTGGGGGAGTTGCGGGAGGAAATCCTCCACCACCTCCAGAAGACGGTGCTGATTCCCGCGAACACGATGGCGAAGACACCACGAGTGAAGAAAAAAAAGATGTTCCACCGCCTGAGACCGCGGCCACACCACAAGGCCACCAAGACGAAGGCTCAGAAGGGACTGAGGAAGATACAAAAGCAACAACAGTAACCGCCAACACAACTGATACGACGAACACACAAAACAGTGACGGCAGCACCGCGGTCTCCCACACCACCTCCCCTCTTTTGCTTCTTATTGTTGTTGCGTGTGCGGCGGCTGCTGCGGTGGTGGCCGCGTGAGAGTGAGGGAGAGAGAGCCGTGCACCGCCCGCACACACACACTCGTCCTTCACTCACTCTCTGTGTGTATCCCCTTGCATGGACTCTCGCCCTCACCTCATCCCACGAAGCACACACATAATGTGCCCATTGTATATATGCATGCACACCCATGCATGCCCGTTGGTGCTCTCTTTTGCACGACACGCACCGCTGCCGTCCTGCCTGGCTGCATGGGCGGAGCACCGTAACTGTTTTTGTTTTTCCATTGCATTGAGTGGGCGACCTCTCTCTCTTTCTCCCTGTGTGTGTGTTTTGCTTTACGGGAGCAATGAGAGTGTGTGCGCTGGTCGTCCCACGCTTCTTCTTTTTCTTGTTCTATTTTATTGCTTTACTTGTGTTGTGGTTGAGTGCACCCATTACCTTTTTTTTTTTGTGGATTATTAGGTTGCTTTGATTGCGGACACTTGAATTTCTTTTCTTTTTTATATGTTTTTGTTTTTGTTGAGGAAGCGTCAGTCTCTTGTATTCTTGTAAGGCCAATTAGCTTTTCTTTGACATACGCCGTGCGTCCGTTGATCCACGTTACTCTGCGGTCTGCATCGCTACTGGTGCTGCTATTGATGATCTGTGCGATGTGTTTGTCGGCGGATGGCTTGCTTTTACCCTGAAGTATTACTTACTTTTTGACGCTGTGGTGCGCTCCCACAGCGAGTTTTATCTCGTTTACGGTGGGGAGAATGCATCCCAGGTTGCTGGACGCGTTGCAGGTGTGCAGCGGCGTCTGGAAGGACCCATGGTTGTCCGTCCGCATCAAGGCATCAACAACAGACCCGTGTGACAGCAGGAGGCACCGCGGATCCTCCTGGTCTCACGCAATGAATTCATTGAATGACAATCGTCACTGTGAGGATGGTTTTCTATCCTCTGTGCACGGTAATATCCTTGCCGAGGAGACTATCCCTGCTGCTGTCAAACTGCATGCGGATCGTCTGCTCGTGCAGGCACTGGAGGGTCCGTTGGTTGTGTACTCATTTGCCACGGGCAGCGTTTGCAGTTGGTTCACGGTGACTGCTGGGCATTGTTGCTCTGGTGTTTCCAATTCTGTCATGGTGATGTCCGTGGCTGCGGCGTCGGGTGGTGTGTGGGCACTGCGGTGCGCCATGCTGGAGGATGGCCGTCCAGTCGCTGGCACCATGCACTTTTCCAGTCAGTTTTATTTCACGGACGCATCGCCACCCGCATCGCCGCGCACCTGTTGGCCCATGCTGTCGGGTTCAACTGCCCGCACATGGCCAGCCGCAGCATGGTGAGGAATGTTGTCGGTGTGCGTGGAAGAGCGCTGTTGGTGGTGGTGCACTCGACGAATGCCGCGATGGCTGCGAGGGAGCACCAAGACTGCGACGACATTGATGGCATGGAGCTGCAGGATGACA